TGAATCGAGAGGTATATATCTAGATTACATTAGAGCAATTAAATACATGTACTATGGAGCCAAGACTCAAGCGAGGATAGTGGGAGGAGACTCAGATCACTTCTCCGTCGTGATGGGGTTGCACCAGGGATCAACTCATAGCCCATTTCTATTTGCTTTGGTGATGGATGTACTAACACGACTTATCCAAGGAAAAGTGCCATGGTATATGCTCTTTGCAGATGACAGTGTGGATTAATGAGACCAGGATGGAGTTAACAATAGGTGCCTTAACAATATGTTGGAAGTTTGGAGACAGACGTTGGAGTCTAAAGAGTTTGGGTTGAGTAGGACTAAGACAAAATACTTGAAGTTCAAGTTCAATGACGTAAAACACATGGTAGATGTGGAAGTTAGGATTGAAACAAGTCATCCCAAAGAAAGAAAGTCTTATTTATCAAGTCACATGTCAATAATTCAAGAAAATAGGGAGATAGATGATGATGTTACACATCGTATTGGAGCAGGTGGATGAAATAGAAGCTAACATTCAGTGTCTTTTATGATAAGATTGTACCACCAAGCCTTAAAGGTAGGTTTTATAACGTGGTGGTCAAACTAGCTATGTTATATGGATAGAGTGTTGACTAGTCAAGAACTCGCATGTATAGAAGATGAGAGTAGTAGAAATGAGAATGTTGAGTTGGCTGTTTGGGCATACTAAGATTGATAGATTAGGAACGAAGCTATCCACGACACTGCGGGATATGCCGCCTTGGTGGACAAGATGAGGCATGTGAGGCTGAGATGGTTCGAACATGTGAAGGAAACATGCACAAACACCCTAATAAGGAGGAGTGAGAGGTTGGCTATAGTGGATGTAACGTGATGTAGAGGTAGACCAGGTAGACCGAGAAGTCTCAAGAGAAATGATTAGACAGGACATGACTCATGCAACTTACCTTAATGTGGACATGACCTTGGTCCTAGATTGGAAGATATGGAGGTCAATAATTAGGGTAGAAGGTTAGTAGGTCAAGCGTTGTCTAGTTCTCTCTTACTATTTTATTCTTCGATCTTAGTATATTACATGATGTTTCATTTGCTTCCGTTATTTTAAATTTTTTGGTGTTGGTACTGCTCTCTTTGTTGTTTTCAGCATGACTTCGATTTTAGTATTACATTATTGTATTTGCTTTGCATACTTGTTTTTTATATGCTTTACCTGAGTCGTGTATCTGGTAGATACAACCTCTCTACCTTCAAAAGGTAGGGGTAAGGTTGTGTACACACCATCCTCCTCAGACCCCACTTTTGGGATTACAACTGGCCCAGTTGAACTGGGTATGTTTTTATTGGAGCTCCAGATGAAGATCAGGCAATACTTTTCTTGACGAATTGCTTTACTACGAAGGCTGCTGATACTGCATTAGTTGCTTACATCTGGTTTTCACTAGAGATCTTTTTCATATTATACATAAATATGCAGGCTGCCGTAGAAACTACTATAGAATTGGATAATCCGTAGTGAATAAAATTATCTTGGGTCTGTTTTGTTTTCTCACTCCATGTAACATGGGCACTTTGTCAGATACCTATTCAAGTATAGTTTAAGGCTCCACCTGCAAGGACTTTTCTAACTTTAACTTCTTCCAATTTTCGCAAAGTAGACTATTTGTTAAATTAAAAGTAGATATATATTAGAATCTAGCTATTGGTAGTCCTTCGTAATTATAATGATGAACAACAATATATTTTCCTAATCACATGTTAGTTGATTTGCTAGTTACTTAACTAAATAGTTCTTACAGTATCCTGAGGCTATTTTCCTTTGAGGTCTACTTTGATATATAGAGTGAAACGGTAGGGCAAGGTGACAAGACACTGAAGAAAACAGCTATAAGAAAAAAAGATATGCAAGCAGATGAAGAATTTGTACTCATAAACCAGTAAAAAAAAAAGTCATGAGATTACAATTAAGTAGCTTAGCTAGTAAAAATTTGAGTCAGGGGAGCAGGGAGCTAATTATACACCGCAGATTCCCCCTCTTAGTGAATCAGATAAAAATCAGTTCATAAAAAATTCAGCCAACTGGGTTATGAGAAAACTAATTCTTAAATAGTATGTAATAGCTTAGATAAATTTCACTAGTTCAAGAAATCCATTTTCACTTGCTGTCTATTTTTTCAGGTTCCTCTCGCTTCACGATCTGTTGGAGTTACAGTTAGTCCTTCACGGTTTGCACCTCCGGGACAGCAAGGGCAACCCTCAAATCTCCCCCCAATGTCCTTATCTGGAACGAACTTTGTTGCCTCCTCTCCTTCTCCTGTAGCATCAGGTGGCACTTCAGCATTTCGGGATCAGTTTGCAAGCCCATGAAATGAAGTTGTGCTGGTTGTTTTTACATGTCAAGGTGGCCTAGCAAGTGGTTGTTACTCCTTCTGTCAGCTGGCTTTCTGTTCTCTCAACCTCATTCGAAGTTTCAAACTGGCTAATCTGTGAAGCTGTAAATCATTCTGTAGTTCCAAATTGCTCATTCACTGTAAAGGTAGTAGTGAAGATGCAGCGTCTCAAGTCTGGTGCCTTCTAGTTGGAAGTATAGTATTTCTGTTAATCTGGCTAGGTGTGTGTCCATCTGATCCTTATGAAGTTTCCCTGATTATGTTTTTAGTTCTTAAAAGGTGTTAGAAATGAATATCCTATGTACATATGCGATGCCATTTTGCTTTTAAGTCGTCAAGTTCTATTACTTGTTAAACAATGTGATTGTCCTCATTCAGATTTCAATGCCTTATCTGAAAGATCCCGATTGAAGTATGTCATTGGTGTGTGATTCTTCCCTGAAATTTGACAGAACATATTAAATGTATTAGACAGACTCGGAGTAGGATCAACTCCGTGTGTTCTCTTGAGAAGTGGCAACATAATGGAAATACAAATTGACTCGTTTTGAGTTTGTCATTTGTCATCTGCTTTCCATAAATATGATGACAGTCGCTGAATCTTGAGTTAGCGATCATGCTATGGTCCATTTTTTCTATTCTTTCTGGCTATATTTTTCTGTGTTCACAAGACATTGTTCTACTTCAGAGCTGTGTACTGAGGTCCTATGTTGAGTCTCACTGTGGTGTACTATAAAAAATTCTCTTTTTACTGCTTTGATTCGGAAAGGAGTCAGGCCAGCACTTGAGCGGGTTTGTGCTGCTCTCTTTGATAGTTTGAATTATTAGATGAAATGGTCACACTTAAACATTATATTTGCTGGTTGCCAACTTGCTCGAACCTGGAACTTAAATTCCATCACTTATAATTTTATTTGAGGTTATTTCTCAAGAAATTTTGTAGATCAAATATTGTTTATGAAATATATACAGTAGGATCTAAGCAATAGCTAGTAGGGAACAACAACAAATACATTGTAATTTCACAAGTGGGGTTTGAAAAAAGGTAGATCTTACTCCTACATTGTAGAGATAGACAAATTGTTTCCAATAGACAGTAGGGAACAGTGTTAGTTCTAAAGTCATCAAGAAATAAATATTGAAATAGTGAAGGAAGGGAGCATTTAAATAGACTAAAATGTTGCTCCATTTGGATTGTACAAACATTTCAACACTCCACAAGTAAATTTTTCAAAATTCACCAACTACTCAAAGAGAGCCTCTGTCGGGGGTTGGTCTTTGCTGACCGTTTATTTGCTTTTTTTGTATCAATGATTCACGGGAATCACATTATTTGGACAAAATAATCAATTTAATATCAAGAGACAAGAATTATAAATGAAAGGGATAATAAATATTCTTTTGGTATAACTATTTCGATAAAGTAATTTGAATTTAAATTGCATAATGACTGTTTCTCAGCGTCATTTGTCAATTACGTATGCCAGTTAGTCATGAACTTGAAAAGACAGGTTGCTTCCTACAGTGGTGCACTCTTACAAGTAGGTGAAGGAAAGTAATACTAATAACAACAATAATAATATATGTAGCGTAATCGTATAAAGTCTGGGGAGAATAGTATGTATGCATATCTTACTTCTCATTTAGCATTTAGATGGATCCATTTTTAATAGACCTTCGGCTCAAGAAAAAAAACATATCAAAGTAGTTTGTGAAAAAAAAAATAGAAATGAAGAAGCCACGATAAAATACTAAAGTATTATGAATGAATAGTATCTACAACAAATTAGTACTAAAGTACAGATCAAAGAACAAGAAACTAGAAGAGTAATGTTGCAATTAATAGTACAAAATAATTAGTGAGACAACGTTCAACTATCTACTAACCTTTTATCCTGATTTATATCTTATCTTTCATAACTTTTTATCAAAATCATATCTTCGATAAATTAAAAGGTTGCAACATGTTCGTCTAATCAACTCTTCCTATAAATAAATACTATATGATAGAAGGCACATCTCCTTTTAGATATAAGTTACCAAAATTGATCTTACTATTAACAATTAATGTGAAGTAGTTAGAATGGACATCTCCTTTTAGATGAACCAAATTCCAGTGGAACCCATTTCAGTGACTCCACATGCTTTTTGCACAAAAAAAGGTATATGATGTCAAAAAGTTCCCCTTTCAATACTTCATCTTCTTTTTTTTTAAAATATACTCCCCAGTTCATTTTTATTTATCACTTATATCTAAAAAATAAATTTTCATTTTACTTATTACTTTTGACATATCAAGAAAAAATAATTATTTTTTTCCATATTTTACCCTTAATATTAAATACTTATTCTCCAAATTATTTGTCAAAACCTAATATACTACTAAAATATAGATAATTTGATAAAATACTTATATCAATAATTATTTCCTCGATAGATATGTCAAGTCAAACACGGTATTTCTTTTTGATTGTCCCCTTCATATCCTTTGCACCCGGCGCAATTTAGCTGTATCTCCCCCTTTAACTCTCTCACAAGTCTTATTCCACTTAACTTTCTAGTTTCTACAACATCATATCCCTCTTTGCCTCTTTCTCTCCACTTCCCCTTTTCCCCCTTTTCCCTTTACCTTCTTTCATTTCTTGACAACTTTATCTCCAAAACAACATGGCACACAACACCACCCACAGGCGCATTTTAGCAGCTCCAGACCATAATCCTAAAACTTCCATTTCCATGGATCCCACTCTCAAAAAGCAACCAAAACCCACCCCCTTTACCTCCAAGAGTACTATAGACAACATCTCCAATCAATTTTCCCATCTCAATGCAAATCACAAAATCCTTAAATCTGGGCATACATCATATTCACTTGACACACACTTAAAGCCCAAATCTTGGACTGGTTCATCAGTTCTTGATTCTTCATGCTCAGCTCTGACCAAGTCAAAGAGCCAACAGGGGAAAACAGAGGCAATTATCAAGAAAGTACCCCAAAAGGGTAAAGAGTTTCACAAAGAAGTAGATGTTAAAAGGGCATTTGTTAATTTGTCTAAAAGTCAAGAAATTGAAAGGTTCAAAGGGTTTGATGAGATAAAAAAGCAATCTTTATCAGTATTATTGAAGAATAGTGGAAGGAGGAAATCATTTTGTGGTTCAAAAATTGAGTTGACTGATTTCTTTTCTCGTAGTGGTGTGAAAGTTGTGTCTGTAGACATGCCACCATTTATGCAGATTCATACTGTCAATTGTGCAAGAAAGACTCATGATAGCTTGGAAAAGTTTACATCTAAAGCTCTTGCACTTACTCTCAAAAAGGTATACTCTCGGTTTTAATTTGTCAAATGTCATTTAATCTTGTTACTCTAAATAGTTGTCAAAACTGAAAAGAAACAACAACACAACAACAAACAAATTAAAATAAAGTGAGTAATCGTAAATTATGCATTTTTGGTTGATTTTGAGATTTGGGTTTTGAATGAATTGATTTATTGGATTGAATGTGGTTTCTGTAAAATTTTCAGGAATTTGATGAAGTGTATGGACCAGCATGGCATTGTATAGTAGGGACCAGTTTTGGTTCTTTTGTAACACATTCTATTGGTGGTTTCATGTATTTTTCTATGGATCACAAGATATATGTACTCCTTTTCAAGACTACTGTACAAAAAGAAGAATCTAGTTTAAAATCTTGAGGTGAAATATAGACCAAAGTTTTGGTAAAAATGTGCTGTCTATGTAGTTTATTGTACATTTGTTAGGGAACACAATCAACTGCAGTTCTATTATAATTTCTATATGTTACGTCAATTCAATCTCGCTTCCATTATGAGAAAAGATATTTAAACCATGGATTCACTCCTACAAGTAATCAAGTAGGGGGTATCAATGATTGTATTAAAAAAAAAGGTGAAAACTCTAATCAAAATTAATTCAATAAATTCATAGCAATGTAAGGATTAGTGGGGAGGTAATCATTGTAATCATAATAATGTAGAAATTAGTGATGTAATGTGGGAGTTAATGATGCACGGTTGATCATGATTTTTTTTAATTGGGAATTGGACTCCAGAAAATACATTTGAATTTGGTCATAAAATTCTGAAATTCAACTTTTCACAATTTTCAGAAATTCGAAAATCACAAAAATAATAATTTAACTTTAAATTACTCATAAACATTAAAAAACAACTTCAACATTTCAAATATCATTTTTCCTTTGAAAACAAAAAAAATGTTTTTTTTTTCAAGTACTCACAATTTTTTTTTTGGAACCCTAGATTAACCCGCAACCGCTATAATCTCTGTCACAGCCTCTACCCTTTGGGTGAGCACTTTGTGCGCACTGGCCACTGGGTAAATTCCCCATTGTATAATATCCTGTAAACCACACATGAAATATAAACTGTATTAGGCAAGCCCTATGCTGCAGCAGACTTGACTCAGAAGACATTGAGGGGAATCGATCCCGGGTCATCCGTGTGGATAACCACCCTCCACACCAACTCACTACAAAAATAAAGAAGCTGAATTAATCTTTATATTAGTATAAGAAATTGAGACTTTGGTTTAAAAGTATCTCCAAAATCAAGAAAATATGAGGTATTAAATATAAAAAAGCAGCTGCAACAACATGAAGTCGCTTTGGCCGAGTGGTTAAGGCGTGTGCCTGCTAAGTACATGGGGTTTCCCCGCGAGAGTTCGAATCTCTCAGGCGACGAATCTTTTTTCGCTTTTTCCCTCTGTTTTTTATTTTTATTTACTGCTGGCCGACACATAGAGTTGCTCGGAGGTAAGCACACCTCACTTTCAAGTATAAATTTATGAGTCCGAGTCATCAAAAAAATAAAAAGAAGTTGTGAGTTCAAGTCATCAAGAAAGCACAAAAAATAAAAAGGAGCACGAGCTACTAAGGAGGGGTAAAAAAAGATATTCGTTGACTTTGTATATTGGCATATACATAAATATATCATTTAACTCGGTCTCATTTCACATTTATGACCTTCAATTTTGGGTATGCACAAATAAACACTTAAATTTGTATAAAATTGAACAAATAAACACACGTCCTACGTGACATCTACATGACAATTTGCGTCCTATATGGTATCGTACGTGTATTATGTCATATAGCACTCTTGTGTCTACTTGTGCACATCCAAAGTTGGAGGGTTCGAACCCGGAACTCTTTTATTCAAATGGACACCCATTACCACTAAGCCAAAGGCATATCTTTTGTCAAGAGTGTCAAACTTTAAATATATATCCTTTAAACGTATAATTTGACATATATATATACAACGTAATTTTCTGACGGAGAGCGTGTTGGACACCTTGGGTTGGATATAGCTACGTCTCTGATGAGGCTAATGTCATAAAACAATGTATGTAATGCATTATACAAATAATTGGAGAGTGAAATTTTGAACATCTTTATTCACAAATACTTTGTAAAATGAATAAAGATAGTAAATGAAAAAGTTCACTTGTGCATTGACTTGAGCGAAGATAGAGGACTACCATTAATTCAGGTAAATAATCAGCCAAGCAATTTTAATTTCTAAAACCAAAAAAAAAAAAGTAATTTTTTTTTCTGTATATAGCTGAAATGAATGCCATTATCTCACTTTTTTGAAACCTTTGAATCATCAATTCAGTTTTGTACATAAACAATGCAAATGCAGGAGCCACAAAAATGGAGATCATGATCATCTGTTGTTAATTTTAATTTACCAACCAAGATCATGATCTGGGGTTAATTTGAATCGTGGGTTGTTTTAGATTAAACCTTTAATGGCTTCAGGTTCATTCAAGTGCTTTGTTGATAAAAAAATGGGCAAATTTGCATTTTTCTTCTTATATGCTATTCTTGAATGGGTGTTGATCATTGTCCTTTTTGTTGATGGTTTTCTTGCATTCTTTTCCAATGAATTTGCCAAGTTCTTCGAATTGAATATCCCGTGTTTGCTTTGCACGAGGATTGATCATGTTCTCGTGAATAGGAACTCGAGTTTCTATTACAATGAATCCATTTGTGAGGTTCATAAGAAGGACCTTTCTGCACTTGCATATTGTCATGTTCATAAGAAGCTCTCTGAAATCAAGAATATGTGTGAAGGCTGTCTTTTATCATTTGCAACAGAGAGAGATGCTGATTGTGAGAGGTACTGCGACTGTCTTATCTAAAAGCTTAAATTCTTAAAAGACACATTTTTGTTACTTGGTTGTTGTTTTTTTCAACACGTCCTGTCATGTGTAGTATCATGTTAAGTATCTTTATGTGTTTACTTTTTCATGTATTTGAATTCTCTGAGTGAAAAATCCTGACTCTGCAATTGTACTGTAGGCCTGATTCTTTTATGAATTTTGGTAATGGTAATGATAATGGTGATATTTTGAGTCGAAACTCTACTTACTTTTGATATAATGTTGAATTGTGCGACCATCTCATCTGTTTGAGAGAGCACGTTTGTTTAATTAGTTATGTTTTCAACAGGTATAAATCACTAGCTGGGGTTTTGAAAAAGGACATTGATTGCTTTGCTGGAGATGATGCAAGACTTTCTGTGAGAACAGGTAAGAAGGAACTAGATGAGGCCATCCAAATTGAGAGGGGTGTAGTTGCGAGGTGTTCTTGTTGTGGAGAGCCTCTAAAAATGAGGTCAAAATTTGCCAGGAATGCGTCGATAAATGGAAGGTCTTATTCTCAAGCTCCTGCTCCATCTCCTCGCGCTTCTCCTAGAGCTCCGTTATTAGGAGCATGGAGAAATATTGAGGAAGTACGCCATCTAGAATCGCCTCGCAGTGTTAGGTACACGGAGCTCAAGTTCACACAAGATGATGAAGGCCCCTCACATGGAGGTGACTCTACTAATTGTCTTAGCAATCTTTTCATTCATGTCAGTTATTTCCTCATCATTCTTTGCTGTTAAACAAAAGGAAAAAAAAAGGCCTTTTAGTTTTGTCTGGTTTGAGATTGTATGTCAGCAAAGGTGGAGCTAAGATTTTGAGTTTATGGGTTCTAGATTCTAGAAACCGCAACTCAAGTCATTTATACATTATAAGTGGATTTTTAAACACAAATATCGGGTTTGAGCCAACGCTAGTAGGTTCTGCTGAACCGCAGGCAAAGTTGTAGCTCCACCCCTGTATGTCAGTGTAAATATGTAAGTGTGAGACACAAATACTTATGACAACTTAATGCATTGCAGGTAAAGAGGATGTGAAAGCTGCAACTATGCCATTGCTACGAGATTCTGAGGATACACATATTGATTCCTCTTGCAAAACTCCAAATAATACAAGAAACAGATTTTTTGGTATCCCATTATCAGACTCAGCTCAAGCAAGTCCTAGGTTCTCTCATCATAGGCCAAGGAAGTCATGGATTAGTGATAAACTTGACTTCACTTCAGAGGCTAACGACATGAATAGTGTACCGAGTGATTTAGAAGAAGACGTCTTGAATCGCTTAAAGAAACAGGTCCGTTTGGACCGTAAGTCTCTTGTGGAACTATACATGGAATTGGATGAAGAAAGAAGTGCTTCCGCTATTGCAGCTAATAATGCAATGGCAATGATCACTCGTTTGCAAGCGGAGAAAGCAGCTGTTGAAATGGAAGCCTTTCAGTATCAGAGAATGATGGAAGAACAAGCAGAATATGACCAAGAGGCTCTGCAGTTCATGAACGACGATCTTTTAAAGAAAGAGGACGAGATGAAGCTCTTACAAGTTGAACTCGAGACTTATAGGGAGAAATATGGACTTATAAAGACAATAGGTAGTGAGGTTTGTGAAGTTGATGATGATGAAGATTATCAAGAACTGAAATCTCAGTGTTTATCATCTATTAGTGAGAGATCAGATTGTGCCAGCCCCTTTGAAGCAGATCATCATAGAGTAAACGAGCGCCTTTTTGAATGTCCCGGGGAAAATGGAGGGGTGAATGTGGAAGAATCACAACTTGATTTTGAGAAACAAAGATCATATCTTATGGGCTTGTTGACGGATGTCGTAGAGAAAATCCAAATATCTCCTGAAGAAGGACCTCATACATTAGAACCAAAGATGACCGAGCAAAGAGGTACATGAACCTATTTTCTTTTCATCATTCATTTCGGATTTACACTCATATATATACTGACAGTGCAAAGAAATTTCACACTATTGGTGCAATTTAACTTGTTATAGCATGTTATCCTCTTACTAATTATGTATAAAAAAACCAGTGTGGAGAAGTTAAACACTTCCATTTTTTGTTTCAAAGACTGCATATACACTAACCTTAGTTTTCAAATGCTGATAGGAAATGAAAATAAGGCCGCTCTTACAAGAGAAGTGTCGTTAATACGAGAGAGGTTGAGAGCCATAGAAGCAGAAAGTGGCTTCTTAAAACATGCTGCCATGACATTACAGAGTGGTGATGAAGGAAGCAAACTCTTGACTGAGATAGCTCAACATCTGCAGAATCTTAGACACACGTCTAATACCTCATCGGAGTATGCAGATGCAGGGCGTCAATCCAATTAACGTGATTTCTCTGCAGTAAATTCCTTCTTTGTCTACATTGATGTTACATTTTCCTCCCGGAGGCACTACAATTTCTTTGAGGAGGATAAATGGGAAGAACTAACATAGATAGCAACGAATCATATAAATGTTGCAGGGCTGATTTCTTGGTCACTCAGGCTAATAGTTATTATCTCAGAAAGTCACTTTGCTTCTTGATTCGATTTGTCTGCAACAAAA